CTGTCTTGTTGAGACAGACATACTTAAAGCAGACAGAAGCAAGCTGAAGTGCTGCAATCAAATGAGAGGATAGTGGTGGAGCACCTGGCACAAAAGAGCAATATTTTCCAGATGGTTCATATTGCAATTATACAGCATCATCTGCCAGGGAAGGACGGAAAGGAAAGAGAAAAAAATCTAATACCTTTTTAGCACATTCAAACCTGAAAGAACCGTTTCAGAGATTTGCAGTGTGTTTTTGCTTTCTGCCCATCTCCACCAGGGAAGAATTGCGTTACATTTATGGTCTTACTGACAAATCTTCTGTTAAGCAATATTTGACCTATTTCTTTAGAGAAAACCCTAAACCATAGTCCTTTTTTTCTACCATACTGCAATAAACTTTTTGCCTATCATACTCTGATTATTTCATACCAGTTTAAATGGAAGTAATATACTAATGAATATGGCCCAGAAGCTTCAAAGTATGCTTACTTCAAAGGCAGTATTGTTTGATATAATGGTATCACAGCATTTTGATGCAGCACAGTTTTAGTCAGCAGTCTAAGTCTTCCAGTACCCCACATAATTATTTTATTACAATGACATTAGTTTGAAATACTACTTTCGTTAGTCTTCTAAATTCTTTCAACTTCTAATTCTTTCATAGCTCACCCTGAGGCTTGCCAGCACATAAGGTCTCTTTAAAGGGGAAAATGTATCTAATGGGTGGGTTATATTAACTCCCACATGGACGCTGCTTAACAGCTCTGCCAAACCTTTCCAATGCTGTAATACAGTACAGACAAGTGATCCATTGAAAAATACAGGCAAAACATATACACAAGAGATACCATAAAGCACATTCAGTTGCCCCATATGCTTATTTAACCATCAAAACTTAATTCACAGCAGGTATTACAAAAGGTTTGTGGGGAAGAACACAACAGTTAGTCACTGATGAAGTCTTTCCAGGCCTGCTAGGTTCATATTTAGTGCCCAAGGCTGACAGACTGTGAAGCAAGTTTTCAGCAAGCTCTTCTGTTCCTTTACCGTCATCTCCACAGCACTTTGCCTAAGGCTACCATTGTTCAGTTTGCTGATTCTTCATCTCTTAGATCTGGGGAGATGGGGCAGTGGGGAGAAATAAGGAGGAAAGCTTCAACATTCATTATTTATATAATTTTGATACACTGCTCACGAGTAATTTCACATAAAACTGTATGAAGCAGGTCCAGCTCTGTCCCTGCCTTTGCAGGCGGACTGCAGACCCTAATGCTCTTTATTTTGTAATTGCTCCATGGGCATGGTCGCAATCCCAGTAAGACAGACCATACTGAGAAGGAGCATATTCGAAAGAAAAGAGACAGTGTAAGAGAGGGTATTAGCTGTGGCAGGAGTTGTGATGGATCAGAACAGCATGCACTTGGGCCTCTGATGTCTCAAGTCAGCTGGGAGCAGCCCACCTTCCCTTCTCCCAGCCAGAAAGGGCTCTGCCTACACAACAGATGATACAGGAGATGTTCAACACAGTACAGCAGTTCTGTTCTCCCAGCTCTTTAGCTCCAGCAGGTCTGCCAATTCTTCCAATAGGCCACTCCTCAATTTGGCCATTTTAAAGCAAAATACATGTGGATGTGTTGCATATGTGTCTCTGACTAAGAACAACTCTCTAAATCCACAAACCAAACAGGGTATGTCCATACACAGCTGAACAAAGTAAAACTGAGAAGCTGCTTGTAATTTTGTATTAAATGATTTTGTTACTCAGTGTGGGTATCTTTGCTGTGTAAATGAAGGTATTCACTTTAAGAGAGTCAGTTAGGTCTTGGGAGACAGAAGGTTAGCAGGATTTTAAAAAGTGTGTTGTTTTTTTCCTTGTTTATCTGTCCTTCAGATTTTGAATTTATAGTCCACCTAACTTCTTTATCTCTGCACTTCTTTGTGAGAGGTGAAACAAGTCACTCAGGGGAACAGCATTTCTGAAAAAGCTCATTTATTTGTTTGTTTTTCATTTTGCCAAGTCCTGTGAATCATAATCAAATCCTGAATGAAACTGCTGTGGAGATTTAGCTAGCTCAGCTTTTTAGCTCTCACTCCAAGAAAAGAGTTTGATCCACAGAGAGAGCACAGAGAAAAAAGGAGGCATGCAAACCCAGGAAAGTAAAATTAGCCAAATTGAGTTATGCTGTGTACAGAGCCAAGCTAATGTTACCAGTTGATATTGTGTAATCCTGACATAAGAAGCTTGCTGATCAAATAGAGGAGATAAACATACAGTCTTTTTTTCAAAGGGTGCTAAACTCCCTGGGTGTTTCTCTGTTCTTTAGCTTTTTCCCTGTTCAGTAGCTTTGAAGACTGGCTCACAGCACTATCTATGAAGTTAGTTGAAGGAAAAAAAATACAAAACCAAAGATCCCCTAAGAATACTCAAAGTTAATTGGCATAATCCACTCAAACACAAAGGTCCTAGGAAAAAAAAAATGGAATTTGTGAATAAAAAATAAAGTGAGGAGACAGAGAGGTGGTAAACAAGTACAATTGTTGCTGAATTGTCTATTACAGAAACACAATACTTTCCCTCAAAATAAACAGATACCAGTTGTAGATTACTTTTGCTATTTACGAACTCAGATTACATTAGCTCTAGTTAGAATGCTAAAGCTCTTGAAACCTGTGGATGCAATTAAGATCTCAAGAAGGCCTAGAAGATGTGGCACTACCTTTTATTCTTTCTTTGCAGTACTCACATCCTTATTGAAGCCCTTAAGCTTCTCCCAAGCAACACACAGATACTGTGGCTCAGGTATGGGAATGCAGGCTCCAACTTACAGAATTCAGTCAGTTGTGAAATGAATTTGAGCTCTCAAATAACTGCCACAAAATTCAGAATAATTTTTCAAATGCAGTAAGCATTTTAAAAAAGAAATCAGCAGCTAAACAGCAGAACTGAGCTAATAAACCTTTTGTTGTATCAAGCAGAAGAAAAACTAGAAGTATGCAATACACAGTGTATAAGCATGTCATGAAGACTGAAATATGAATTCTAGTTTCTTCAAAATTTTTAGTGAAAAATAAGAAAATGACATTAAAAATCCAAGAAAAAAATCCAATTGCCTCATTGAAATGCTAATGTGTTATTCTTCTGTTATTTGAGTACTGAGAAAATGTATTTGAAGGCAGTTCAGCTTTGTATACCTGGGCTATTTTTTGTAAGAGAAGTGCAACAAGAGCATAGCATTATCACAGTTTAGACATATCCATGCTGTACACATTTCAGAGAACACATCAACAATGCCAACTGCTACCTGATGCATGTGACAAGCAAGTAAAATCTCTTGAACCTTGTAGGGGAAAAGTGAATGCATGGACCACTACAAAACCAAGCAAAAAAAAAAATCTATGTTTACGTTTAAGTACAAAGAGAGAACACTAGAAACCATCACACATGCTTTTCTAGAAGAGGTACAAGAGCCCTGAAAGAAATTAGCATCATCCACAAATTACACTGACTAGAACTAAAGTAACTGTTGTGTACGGTAGGGAATGCATTAACTGGAGATGCGTGGGTAGTCAGATTTTGAATAAAATGCACTGTGGAAAAAAATAAAACTAAAAACATGCTTTTAGAAAAATCAAAGCGATGTGAAAGCAGGTTTTCCCCCCACAATCATAAATATTGCAGCCTCTCTCCTGTCACATCCCCATTTTAGGTTAGGCAACTATGAGCTGTATCTTAAATGGTACTTCAATTTCACACAATATTATACTATTAGTAATCATGTTTCCCCTAGCATTTCAGACCACATAATATAGTTTTTTGTACTAGGATGTACTCAAGTCCTATCTGCTCCAAGCACACAAACTTAAAACTAAAGAGTCAAAGAGAAGAAACCAAGATGGACAAATTTATTCAATGAAGTGAAGAAACATTAATGTATTTATCCTGTTACTTTTGCTAATATGAAAGAAGTAATTATCAAAATCAGTTTTTTCTTCCTTGCAGATCTAAAAACCACCCAATCATTAACTTTTACTGTTCTAGATAGCTGCAAGCACTGATTGAGACTGAACTATAGCATGCTACTGAAAGATTACTCACATTTTTAAGAGATTACCCACATTTGTTACAAATATTCAGAGAGACCAGTAAAAATCACACACGGAAACAATTCAGAATTGATTCAATTCAGCTACAGAAAAAGGAACAGGCCACTTGCCCCAGGGCAGTGCTACTGATCTAAGGTGAGTCTTTAAAAATAGATATAGAACTATGACTATCTAGACACTCCTAAGAAATAGGACATTATTGTATTATGTGTAAAGATAAAATATGAAGGTACATCTGAAAACATCCCCAAAGCCATAGTATTCCATCTTTCACACTGTCCCACAGCATTTCAACAAAAATCTTCTGAAAAGGTAAGTCTGAAGAAGCAAACTTCTAAAGCTTCTACTGACTATCCAGTTTTCTCGATATCTTAGGCTTCTATTTTATCTATGTACTCCCATGAGCACCAGATTACCTTTTCTGTATTTTCTCATGTATTGTGTATTTTTTCATCCTGGGGGATGCAGAAATGTATTTTTGCATGTCATGTCAGTTACATGATAAGCAACTGATTTACTCCAGAATACCAGTATTAGAACTTGCTTGATATCAGGAAAGTTGAACCCTCTGTCCACAACAAAACATCACAACAGAAATGAGGTCTCAGAAAATTCTAATGGGAGAAAATGATTCCTGTTTTCTCACTTTGTGTATATCTAATTTACTAGCCAAGGAATCTTAAAATGAACAGAACAAATTTCAAGAAGAATTGCACCTATATTTTAAGGGACCAGATTAATTGTAAGAAATCAAAATACACACAAGACTTTTTTAGTAAGCTTGTTTTTAACATGTTTTCAGCAGCAATAAGGAAGTTTCTACCATTTGTTTTGTCACAGAAAATGTAAAATTAGGTCAAGAAAAAAATCAAAACTTTTTACTAATCTAATAATTCAACTGTTAGACTTACCTGTTAACTCTCCACGTTGATTTGATTATCTTCCAAGCTGACATAGAGGCAAACAAAACAAACAACGTAAGCCATCTGCAAAAGGAAAAAAAAATTCCAACTTTTGAAAACGTTATGCAAGAATATCTGCTGTGACACTCACCAACATTTTACTCCTTCAATTGCCTGTGAATACTGTGTAATACAATCAACTGTGCAACAAACACATTAAATTTGAACTTAAATCTATGCAAAGCTACCATATTCAGTTCAATTGAAAATACCCTGATCATAAAAATCATCCCAATTTGGTTAGGATTCCAAACATTAATGCATGCATTCGCACTCTCAACAATAGAAGTGCTTAAGATGTTTGTGCAGCAACATGATATATTCTGATATATATTTGTATTTTACTTCAGTGGCCACCTTTCTCCTCCCCACTAGCTTGTATCTTCCATCATATAACTATCTTCTTAGTTACATGATAACTAATGCTTCATAGCATGTCAGAAGTGATGGCACATGAAGAATGCTGGCAAGCTTTAAAGGTTCGAGGACTTTTTCTTGCAGTTGAGTATGCAAAACTGACCTCTGACTACAGCTCACCTATTTCATGCTAAGTCTAGAAAAGACATGGCCTCAGAAGAAAATAATTTAATAATAAATGGAAAAGGTAAGAGCAAATCCAAATGAAGAACTAGCAGAGTATGGACGCTGTATTCTTTCATTACGAAATCCTGGAAAGGAGAGATTAACTGATTGCCTCCCTAGAGCACTGCATTTCTTCCTTCCCAGCCACGTTTCTTTATTATCAGGTTCTAAAACCTACAAGGCTCAGATTGTCACCAAAAGCTAGAGGATGCATCCTTTTGTGCCCATCTCTTTCCCATCTTATTTAGACCAAAGCATCCTTAGAACAATGTACTTCTCCCATATGTTTGTAGTCTGTAAGGGTTAAGCATAGTCTGGGAGGACCTAAAAACTACTAATGTCCTAATAATACTGATACAAACACACATGAAGAGTGTCCCTTTAAAGAAAGTTAAATTTAACAAAAACATTTGTAAATCTCTATAAAAATTAGAAACGCACAAATTCAAGCATTCTGTAAATACAGGATTTATAAGAACAGAACACATTACCAGTGACGGGTTTCAAATCAATATAACAGTTGTTGAGCACAAAACATACAAGAAAGAATGCTTGTTACAATATTTATTTATTTTAATAATTCTATTTCTACTCTATCTTCTTATGAAAGAGAATAAACCCCCTATGTTCTAACTACAAATGGAAATTGTTTGCACTGTCTATCAAATTTAGTCTATCCTCTTCTTCTTCTCTACTACAAAATTTTGTCTGATAGCATAGGTACACTTTTCAGAAGTAGATATTAGGGAAGGAAAAAAAAAGTAATGGAGATCAATCTAACACCACTACGAAAAATGTCAGAATAGTCACTGATTTTGTAACACGCACACACACAAAGTTGAGCATCCTCTGTTACTTCTGTAACTTCTGTCTACCAGAGAAGAAATTCAGAACCACACTTTGCACTTAATTATGCACAAGCAGGGTTTTTCATCATGATGAAAAACCAAGATGAGCTTGTTACAAATAACAGGCCTATCTATTACAGCTCCCAATAAAGTAGGAGAGGATTGAAAAAGAGCAAGGGGATTTATTAAACAGAAAATAGACTTGACAAACATTACTACAAATGACAAATGAAATGCAGGATTATTTAACATGACATATTTCAACTCCTGGCTTTTACCACTTCTACTACTAGCCTTCAAAGCACTAGCTTTATACCCCCGTGCTCACAGCTCATCCAATAGATTTTCAAAAGCTAGAAAGTAAGTTCAGGATAGTGGAAGCAACATGAACACTTAAATTTATATTTTAGAAGTTTGATTCTTTCATTTCTAATAGCAGTGGTACAAAATTAAAACTACTAACCTAGAATTGCTGAGGTACTGCCTAGTCTAGATGAGCACAAAAGCAGATAAATTTGTCTGATCCTACTGAGCAACTACTGAATATTTTCTTTAGATATTTCAGCATACCAAGCAATCCTGGGAAGACCATACATCACACAAAAGAGAAAAGGAGAAAACTTTCGAGAAATCAGATTTCTCCATAAAAGCATGATAATGTGAAACATTACTAGCCATTAAAATATTAGCAAAACAAAAGAAAATAGTTGTAAACTGGAGCACAGGAATTTTCAGTTACATATAAGGGAAAACTCTTTGCAAATCAAACACAGATCAGGATGTCTGGAGAAGCTGTGAGATCTCCATCTTTGGAAATACTCCAGCTCATCTAGACAGAGCCATGAACAACCTGATGTAAATTTGAAGTTTGGTCCCATTTCAGTGAGGGGCTGTTCCAGAAGTTCTTCCTATTTCACAGAAGTCTGTGACCAGAAAGCAATAACAGAAAGCCATCGGAACTGGATTCTTTACAAGGAAGAAACCCACTGTTCAAGGTCAGAAAGATCATGGTCAAAACCCCAGAGTGATTTAAAAAACATTATTTTCAAGTACTTCCTTTTCTCAGCCTTCTATGCTATAATATTTTCTTCTCGATCTAATCCTTGAGCAACCACAAAAGAAGAGAGATCAACAGTAATAGAGAGATGAAATTTACTGAAACAAAATATTCCTAAAATCCATTATATTTATCAACACACCTCATCTCCACCTGTAACTATAGTCCTATAACAGTAGTGACAAGGATGCAATTAATATTCCTAATAACATGATTATTACATTGCTCATCTAGACTAAGGCATTCTTCAAGGTGAAAGATTTTTTGAGTGTACCTTTGCACTAACCCCAGGGAAAGTAGCATATTCCTGAGACAACCTAAATAGGATTTATGGTGTACATTCATCCATAACTACATAGCCATTTCTAAAATAAAGACGACAGCTATATTATGTTACTTTTTCCTGAGTTGTAAACTATCAAAAGGCTGAAGTAAGGCATGATACATATGACATTCCCATTCTGCTTATCTTCTGTTTGGAACAATTAAAACCTTTGGTGGTTTTCTAATTTGATACATTCCCTTCCTGATGTGATAAAACACAACAGATCAAAGTAGTTGTGATCACCCTACTGCTGATTTAATGAGAACCTAATTTATAGCACCTTACATTTAGGTGGTTTTGTTTGAGACAACTGAATTTAATAAAAAGAAAAATTGTTTCTTTCTTAATCTGTTCATTTCATGGTAAGTCAAAATAATTTAAGGCAATTAAACAAACTGCTTGATTTGAATGTCTCTGAAGTTATTACAGACTTGTAATATTGTCTGTTTAAGGATAAGAGACAAACCTGGCTAATCTGCTAAGGCATGCATACTTGAATTTAATATAGTATCCTCCTAGCTGGCTTTTTGAAGTGATGACAGGCAGCAAGTAAAAAAAGGTATCCATTTAAACTGCACATGGCAAGTAATGCTCTGGGCAATTTTGAAAATGCTTGAAGATTTTGAGAAGAAATGCAAGAAATGCTAGTCTTGCTGCAGGAAAACCCATAGGAGGAAGAATATTTCCAACTCCACATGACAAATCCTGAAGTGCTTTGGAAAATTAGAGGTTGAAGAGATGAGAAAAGTATTCTGAGTGTTTACACTGTGTTCTATAAGCACTGCTGCTCTGTGTTCTCTAGTTCAACACTGATTTAACTACCTGAACTACATACAATGGATTTATTTGAATTTTCAAATGAGTAAAATCTGTTCCAGTTTGTACTAATGTATTCTTATGATAGGCTCTAGAGAACGAGTTTCATAGCAAGAACAGTTGCACAGCATAGGCTATGTAACTGCGAACTACACTGGCTTTGAGGATCTCAGCATTCACAAAGTCATGCAGTTGCAGGTCATCACACTTCAGACACTCACTCTTGACAGTTAGCCCTAAATGAATGGAGCTGCTCACTGTCAGGCTAGAGATATCAAAAACTTTATTGCATCGTCAGATACAAAGGAAACCTTCAGAAAATGTGAAATAAATGGTGAGGATCAGTTGGCTCTACGAAGTACACACATGCAAACATCACACCATGCAAGCATGTCATTGAGAATATTCTTTCAAAAACAGAGCAGACAGTATTCTTAAAAAGTTGCAAGTGAAACCCCTTGAATGATTAACTACTCCAAAATGAGAATTTCCTTAAAATTAAGACAAAGGTTTTTTTGACCAAAAACAAACCATGCTGTAGATAGTCTTCTCAATTTCATACAGACAGGTATGTGGAGACTTGGTATCTTCTGAAAGAGGATCAAGATGACTTCTTTGTAGTTCTTCAAAACAGGTTTTTAAATTTGACTAAAGGCATATTTTTCAAATTTTAGAAGTGTATTAGGAATTCTCACTTCTATAACCTGTGCAGAAAAAGCTTGGCAACAGACAAGGTGGCCAGTACTGAAAAACGAAAAACTCATGCATGTTTTATTTTCCCCAATTTACTATTTAAAGGCAGTAAATCATGATGCTAAAAGTATATCACCCATTTAAGTTTAGTGTACTTTCCACCAAAAAGTTAGGAACTTAATAACTAAGACTTCAATCTTTATTTATATTCAAACATCCTTTTCTTCTAAGTTCTTCTTCTGTGGTCTGTCTTTAACATTCTTAAAACATCTATCAGGTCAATTTTATCAGAACTGGACAGAAAAGACTGGGTTGTTGCACACAATCCACTTAACACGGGATGCAAAGCCACTTCCTCCAAATACATGTTTATTCTAAGGCATCAGTGTATTCTTTTCAGCTAGTATGTCTAACAGGATTCCTCTTCCTCTGCTAAGCAACACACAAATGTAAATTCAAATTATTATGTTTGTGACTAGTCAGATCTGAGCCTCTCAGTTTTAGGTGCTGCACAAATATACCACGAAATGCAAACAGTATTGCTTATCTTCAAAACATTTAATTGATTTGTCACTGCCCAAAGCATTTCTTCTAGATTCTTTCTTCTAAAAAGCACTTGTATACAAAATCTAAAAGTTAATGACATTTAGAACTGAATAGTTCAGTTGGAAGGGACCTACAAAGATCATCCAACTGCCTGAAT